AAGTCCCTTCTGTCATCTCCCCTTATGCTGCTTTCTGGGGAGCATGGACTGCATGCCTCAGAAGAATAGCCCCATGTGTTTGTTTACCTTTTGTCTCTCTATGTGTAGTGTTCACTCATTGGTACTACATGAACATATCCATTTTCTTAGAACACTGAATATTCTCAGAAGTGCTGGGAGAATAGGAGAGATACTGCCTCTGTTATCTTTTTCAGACAATTACCACAGAAGCACAGGACAGGATGTTATGCCTGGATAGGATGTTATCTTGCTTCCTCTCCAGGCGCTCCATTCTTTCCCCTCAGCATGCTCAGTCCTGCCTCTTCCCCACCCCATCCCCCATCCCACCTCATACTCAACCACTTGGCTAGACTTGAAGAATTAGTGGTAAAGACGGGTGGTCTTGACACATTACAGCATTTAGACTATCTAAAACAAGGAGAGGGAGCAAGCTTTGGGGTTTTACAGAGAACTTCACCAAACAGATGTTTCAGTTTAGGAAAAGATTTTTTTGGGGGGGGTAATGTTATTGTTTCAGCCTGTGGTCTGCAGAATGTTTATTCTCTGAGGTCTTGTAAGGTAAGACTTTTAACTCTGAAAATGATATTTTGACATTTTTATGAGTTCTCTTTCACAAGGAAACGTTACACTGGAGATAACTGAGCTTCCCTTCTGTGTAGAAGTAGAAGGAGATACAAATATGTATGAATACTGAACCAGACTTTCCCAAACCACAACAGAGCATTAAAATAAGTCTAACAGATGTTGAATATGTTCTTGGGAAATCCGGAGGCACAGAAAAACACACAAGTGGGAAAGTAAGATTTCCTCATAGGTTTTAGCTCTATCTAATACATCCACACAACTATTTCTAAAGCAATTCTTGCAAGTGACTGACATCTTTGTTTCAACATTTCCTGCTAATATAATTCTAATTAAAAGGTTACACTGAATACATTTTCCAAATGGCAATATTTTATGTTCAATACCTAATTTGTGATGCTCCGGCCTAACTGACCTCTAAAGCCATACATTCTGATAAGTTCAGGATTGAAACATATCAGGGCAGGTACATCCACCTAGTTGCCAATTATAATTAATCACCTTTTGTCCTTTTTAAGGAGAAAGGCAAGGTAAAAATATTTTAAATAAAATGATAAATAAAAGAAGTGATCCCCCGATAAACCATAGTCACTGTAACAACTTGAAGTCATGTTGCCTCCCTCCTGCAACAACAGCCAATCATGCTGCCTCTTCCAAGCCGTGCTGGAACATCATCCTTATTCTTTGGTGTTGCCACTGTGAAATTTTGTGGCCCAGCTCTGGAACATTGCATTAACAGCATTCAGAAGTGATGCATTTAAGACTGAAAATGTTTCTTTGCATAACCTGTGGAACTGTCCTGAAGAGAGAGGCTATAATTCTATTGCCGTGTCACACATACAGAAGCCAACCAGGTAACATTCAGTTACTTCTAGCTGGCAATTAAAAAGTTGCTGCTAGGATTCTCAGAAGCGCCCATGCCCACTGGCTTGGCACATGCTCAAGAAAACCAATCAACCAGCATACAGTCATGTGAAAAAGAAAGTACACTGTCTTTGAATGCTATGGTTTTATATATCAGGACATAATAAAAATCATCTAGTCCTTAGCAGGCTTCTCCATTTTGGCTTCATTTTTGTTAAATAAATCATGACATGGTGTAACATGTTATGTATTGTTTTTCATCTGAGGTTGTATTTACCTAATTTTCAGATTTGCTAAAGACCATATTATTTTTATTATTTCCTGCTACATAAGACCATAGAATGAAAAGAGTGTGCACTTTTTATCCCATGACTGCATATGACTGTTTCCCCAACATGAAGTTATGCCCCAGTATTATGCACCAATACAAAAGAAGAGAAGTTAGCACTACATTCAGTCTTCAAAGTACTAGTTACATTCAGGCATTCTTAAAGAATATGTTCTCCCTGCATGATAAGAGGATGCATGAAGTGATTCAGATTTCTTAAAAGAGAAGCAGGCATCCATGCATGATGTGCTGGCCCCACTCCCTTCATCCTCACGTTTAAAAAGGGAAAGCAACAGGCTGAAAATGATCCACAGAAGCGCCACACACACACACACACACACACACACACACACCACACACACACACACACACACACACACACACACACACACACACACACACACACACACACACAAATTCAGTTCATATACAGAAGCTACAGGGATACAGCAACCTCCCCTCCTTCATACTCTGTTGAAAGTGACAGTGGAGGGGGTGGGGCAAGCATGCTCCCCTCTCAAAGAACTCAAATACATAAAGTCTCAGAAGTCTTTCATTAATGTCTTTCATTATATCCTTCAAATGCCATATCATAGACATATTATTTATCATTGTAAAATAACATATTCCACATTCCATGGCTTTGGAAAAAAATGGGGGAGGAACCCTGTTTTTCCCCCCAATTTTTCTGGATTTTTTTTCAAGGCCTTCCCATCTCTACATGTGGACAATGCACCTACTTTATTAGGATTGCTGTGACACCTGAACACGCAAGAACCCCAACAGTTCCCCTCTTTAAGACATCTGTGGCTCACAAAATTTGATTCCACATTAGAAATAATTCAGGCCTTTTGCTTCAAAAATCACCCCTAGCTTGATATATAACTCAAGCAGTTTTGGGTGGGATCAGACTGGTCTAGCTACAGAATGTTTAAGGTTTAGATGTGAAGACTCATATTTATGATTCTTTCTTTGGCAACTATCAGAAATGATAGATTCTATAATAGCTAAAGTGTCAGAAACTGATTGTTTTGTCATCAGTTTTTAAACATATCAAAAGTAATGCACATTGAGCTAATTTATGTACATAAACAGTCAAAAAGAATGATAGGAACTAACAACTTCACATTCAGAACTTAGATGATCCATATATTTTGAAAGTTCAATGGACTATAGATCAAGCTATATGTGTCTCACAGCCCCACTGCTCCTGGACTAATGTTTATGTTTTCCAGCTGTTCATTTTTTAAAGCCTTTGCTAAATTACAAGATAAATTATAATTGTAAGGAGAATTAACACTAGAAAGAGACTTCAGCCAGTTCAGACCTTACAGGAAACCATGGTGAACTGTAGCAACTCTCAAACTTCTGTCCTCTTTCCTCTCCTCTTGGTTTTCAGAAAAGAAGGTCATAAGTATCTGCTTCTTGTTTTAAAAGAAATAACTTTCCTCAGGACACCAAAGTTGGAGAAGCAACATTTTGTTTCAATGCTAGTTAATTAAACAATTCCAGCTCTGAAACCAAAATTTGTGATGCAAACTTGTTTGAACTAAACAAACTGTAGTTCCTCAAATTTGGAAGCTGAACTTTGAAGTGGAAGTTTTCCATCTCCTCAGAAAGAGGAAAGAAAGGAAAGGAGAAGAAGTATGTAAGCCCCAAACTTGCTGCAAATAATTCATACTGGCTTTCTGCAATGGGGGGAGGGGGGGGACAGATAACCACATTAGGGCTTGTCCAGACTAAACATTTATTTCTCCTCACTTTGCACTGGTTGCTGTCACTTGACTATGGATCATTCTGGAATTTTTGTCCACATTCTTAAAACCCTACTTCTCTTTTAAGAAATCTATATCACTTCAAGAAACTGTTCAAAATATTTCAAAAATCCTTTAAAAACACTTAAAATGATCTTCTGTGCTCTCTTGTCTTCTCTCTCTGTTTATAGTGGATTAGTGCTAAAAGATACCTTGGCAGCAGCCATCCTCTGTTAAGAGAGGAGGGAGGACAAGAGAATATGACAGGAAAGTTCCTTCTGGAAACTGGTGCTCTGCTCCAAAGCAGTGGGTGAAAAAACAGAGAGGTTGGCTGGTACTGCTGCTGACTTGGACCTTTTGTTTCCTACCAGCTGGGAAGGACAGCCAGTTTCTAGTTGCTATTTCCTCAGGGGTTGTTGAATCATCACTGCTGCTTCCTATGGAGAGATGACCATGGGGTTCCCCCTTTCAGTGTGTGAGCACAGATTCACTCAGTAGCAGACTTGGCAGAGGAAATCCAGTTCTGCCACCAACCTTGGGCTTCTCTGAGAGAGAGAGAGAGAGAGAGAGACAGACAGACAGACAGACAGACAGACAGAGAGGGAGAGAGGGAGAGAGGGAGAGAGGGAGAGAGAGAGGGAGAGATTAGAACTAAAATGGGGAGGTGATGGGAGCCCTTGGCAGCATCATTCCCTTCTTCCACTTCTTGAAATCAACCATTTAAACAGCTCTTTCATGAACTGGTTAGGTAACCCTTCAAAATTATCTTCTTTGCTAAATTTTTGTTCATGTATATCTTTAGTAGATTAGCACCAAAATGGAAAAGTTATAACCAAAGAAGCTCTTGCCAACTGAACTCCACCCAGTGCAGAGTGAAACACCAGAGGGAGAAACCCTCTTGCAAGAGGTGGTTAGAAGAAACACAAAAAGCCCAGGTATTTGTCACACTTTGTCACTGTTGGTACCTTGCATTATCTGGACAGCATGAAAAATACTTGTATCATCAGAGCACAAGAAATGGGGAAAGTGCTTGTTGTGGACCAGACCCAAGTTTACTGTAGGAAAACGATATCCTTATGACAAATAAAACCTGTTGGACTTTAAAGTAGTATTTGTTCTATGAAGATTCTCAGTCATCCAGGTGTGGTTATCTGATTCAACTTCCAGATAAGAAACTTTGTTGTTTATAAGTTTCTGTTGCACTTTTCTTGTATGAGAGATTTTTTTTCAAATTTCATTTTTGTTTATGAAGGAAATAAGCCAATGACCAGAACCTCAACATGCAAAAACAAGACTAACAAAGAGTCCTATAGCATCTTGAAGACTAGCAGACTAGTTTTACTTGTTGCAAGCTTTTGTGGACTGTAGTCTACTTCTTAAGATGCAGAACTAAGACCTTCTGAGCGCAGCTTTATTTTAAAAACTGGAAACACCATGTAGCAGTTTCTTACCTGTGGTCCTCAGCAAGATTGTTTGGTTCATCAATCCAGTTAAAATGGCTCTTTAGAATCTTCCGCACCTATTTTAGGGAACAAATTTAAGGGAAACTTCAGCAACTAGAGCAATATAATCCTCATTTATTTTTAACACAGTGTAATTTACATGACTCAATTAAAGATGTTATGTACTTTGTTGTTGGCTCCCAGGTGTAGGATTATTTCAAATCAATAAAGAGAAAGTAGAAGTTTTCCAATTAAACACAGGTATTGCAATGCAAAACATGCATGAAAGCCAGATATGGATGTCTCCTTTGGAATTATGGTTGAAGGTCTTCAACCCTAATGTTTATAGGAGAAAATAGCAAAGGAATGATGTTCAAAACTAATCATCCATGTATGCATTTTATAAAATAATAATCACGTGCTGCCAATTCAATTCTGACTTATGGTAACCCCTTTCGGATTTTCCAGGTAGAGAACACAGAGAAATGATTTACCATTTCCTTCTTCTGAGGGCATCATGGGACTGCACAGATTGCCCAAGGCTACATAGGCTGGCTCTAGAAAAAAATGTACAGTGCAAAAAATGCCCTAAAGTTACAGTATTTTTGGAAAACCAGGAGGTGACCAGGAGGCAGGTTAAGTATGTTGTAAAACAGGGGTGGGTACCGGTGGCCCTCCAGATGTTTTCTCAGCTCCCATAATCTTTCACCACTGACTATGCTGACCAGGGCTGATGAGAGTTTGCATCTACCATGTGAAGGTCATGAATTCCTTATCCCTCATGTAAAGAAAGCCTATTTGTAAGAAGTCAAAGCCTCACCATTTTCACCAGCAAGGGTCAAACAGCTACAACTCAACTATTGATCAGATGATTAGCAGCTGCAAAGTGTTTGTGGCGCTTTTCAGGACAACCTGACAGCTGCTACCTGTAGCATTAGGATCTGGCTCCTTTTATTGACTAAAAATAGTAATGCAATAATTGCTTTAGGGATAGTGCAGGGAATTAATCAACTAAATAAATAATGAAATGGTATATGTTCACTTGATATGTAATATTTTCTTAGCAGTAGAGATATGGAAAATTTATATTTTAGAGTCCAACTCCCAGAATACTCCAGCTCGTAATCTGGGAAGTTATAATCCAAGAAAGAAAATTTTCCATACCTCTGCCTAATGCCACAAGTAGCAATGCAGATGCAGTGTAAACTCTTCCCCTGAAACTTAAGACTATTATCCTGCTTTGCTCATCCTTTTACATTTTATGTTGTTGTTTTTTTAATTGCTTAACTGTTTAGAAGTCTCACATTCCTCCTGTTGTTCTCAAAATGGCCTCTTTTGGAAAAATTTCCATTTTGGCATAGTATTAATTGCCTTCCAAGTAGTTGCTATAGCAAACTGCAACATTACATTCACTGTGCTTGCAAAAGCTCAAAAAGAAAAAAAAACAACAACCCCACCCCCGTGGTACTTAAGTAGGCTTTTTTTAAATAATATCATCTTATATGGGTGCGTTCCATGTGTATATTAAGATCTTTACATCCATAAAAAAGAATTTACAATACAGAAGAACTTTTTATATAAAATGTCTTTTAGACCCCATATTCTCCCTTTTAAACTACGGTTAACTACAAAACTTGCAGCTAGCTTACTACTCTGAAAGACTGAATTGATAAATTGTGGCATTTGGCCACTAGATGAACTCTTACATTATGTAAGAACAAAGAAATGCAGTAGAAGGAAACTGGAATATATTCTCAAAGGCTTTCACTGCCAGGATCTTATGGTGGTTGTAGGACCTAAACAGCCTGAAAAACCTACAACAACCATTGAAACTGGAATACTTCTATTGAATACTGTGAAAGCAGTAAGGTAAAGGTAAAGAATCCCCTTGATAATTTTTGTCCAGTCGTGTTCGACTCTAGGGGTCATCCCCGTTTCCAAGCCATAGAGCCAGCGTTTGTCCGAAGACAATCTTCCGTGGTCACAAGGCCAGTGCGACTTAGACACGGAACGCTGTTACCTTCCCACCGAAGTGGTCCCTATTTATCTACTTGCATTGGCATGCTTTCAAACAGTTAGGTTGGCGGGAGCTGGGACAAGCGACGGGAGCTCACTCTGTCGCGTGGATTCGATCTTACGACTGCTTGGTCTTCTGACCCTGCAGCACAGGCTTCTGCAGTTTGGCCCGCAGCACCACCACGTCCATGTGGAAGCAGTATTACATCCATATTATTGTTGTTGTTGTTGTTTTACTCTATATATCACAGTCTATATTCTGTCATAATCCTATTATTTTGAGTCATAAGATAAAAAATATTTAGGAATGCTACATTAATAACTAATTATCTACATTAATCTTCATCTAGACAGATAAGAAAAAATACATTGCCAGATTTCTGGGGCATTTTCTAGTTCAAAGAAAATTCAGAAAACAAAATATACAGAAATTAATCTCTATATATCACAGTCTATATTCTGTCATAATCCTATTATTTTGAGTCATAAGATAAAAAATATTTAGGAATGCTACATTAATAACTAATTATCTACATTAATCTTCATCTAGACAGATAAGAAAAAATACATTGCCAGATTTCTGGGGCATTTTCTAGTTCAAAGAAAATTCAGAAAACAAAATATACAGAAATTAATATAGACAGAAATTTAACATAAATAAAAAGAAATATCAAACGATATGTGTTTCAATAGCTCCAAGGTCTGTTAACACTATTAAATCCTCTCAGAACACCATATACACAAGTGAAATGCAGAGACCTGATTATCACCAGGTCATATCAGAAATCACAAATCTATACAAAAATTATAAATAATATTATAACACCTCTTGCTAGTCTTTGGTACTGATTTAGTGTTTATTTTATTATGCTCTTGTAAAGCATAATAAAAATTGTTGTAAAGCGTAATATTATTTCTAAATTAATTGCAATTAAAATTTTTAACTGTGTGTGCTGAATTATATTTTTATTTGTTACATGTTTACACTGTTACATGTTTACACTGTGAAAATAAATAAATAAATGAATAAATAAAAGAAAGCAAGAAAGAAAGAAAGAAAGAATGAAAGAAAGAAAGAAAGAACGAAAGAAAGAAAGAATGAAAGAAAGAAAGCCACTAAAAAAACTGAGAAAACATGTTTGGCATCCTTTTTAGATTTGTAAACTATTATTATTCATATTACTATTTATATATTTTATTATTGTTCATATTTTGGATTTCTAATTTGACCTGGTGACATCTGGGGTACTATTGTGCAGCAGTTTTTTACTGTGGCTGCTATGAGAGGCTTTAGGTTTGGTTAAGAACAACTGGGAGATACTAGAATATATATTTGTTCTGAAGTTGTTGTAAGCAGAGACATTATATTTTGAAGGGATGGAGCTTCTATTTTTTGAAGATGGTTCACATATCTTTGGTAAGCACTTTCATTAATCTTGTTCAGTGATCCACCACATAATCAGAAGCTATGATTGGAAAGCAAGAGGGAGAAAGATGCAAAAAAAAAAAGTACAGATTCTTTGTCATCTGCAGGGGATGACAGTAAAATGAAGGCATGGCCATTATCTGTTCTAAGACAAGAAGGGACAGATAGATTTAGAATGCACTGGAAATGCAAAATGAACTAAAACGGACTTGAGATAATGAGCAAAAGTGAGTTACAAGCTTTGGAGTTCCTGGTTGCACATATACTCAAGTTCATTTCCAATGGTATTTTTAAAAAAGAGAGAATATAGAGACATCCCAGCTGCTCTATGAAAACCCAGATAGGTTGTGGATACTCATTTTGTTCAAACTGGTAGAAATGAAACAGTACAGAAGCGTTCTCCCCACTCAATGTGATTATGAGAGGTTTGGGCAGTTGATGCATTTCAGAACTTCCTTGCCTTTTTTGTCCAAAACTTTGTACAAAATGTAACATTTTGGGTTCTGCTGCACAACATTCAAGTTTTTTCATCTACCATACAAGTCAAAACATTGCGTATGCATTTCAGTATACAGTAGTCATTGTGCTGCTGTATCTTTGCAAGGCATGAACTTCACGTGACTAGCTCCCACACGCAAATTAATTTCAGTTTGAACCTGAGGAGTCTTAATCAGTCCTTCCTTCTGGTTTCCTCTCTAAATGAAGGAAACACAGCAAAGCATGAGGTAAAAACAGAGCAGAAAGAGGATATTTCCAATAAAGATGTAACTTTATGGGAATAAAAGTCAACATTTTAAAAATAAAGCAGGTATGGAACCCATTTCTCCCTCCTTTTAGTGTTTTTTGTTTGCAGCAAAGAAACAAGCAAGTTCATTCCTAACCAATAATGTAAACAATGGTTTTTATATAAGAATGTATGTTGTTACATCACACCCTAGCAGATTACCACTTTATTTTACAATTTTCTAATAACTTTATTTTGTACAGAGCCAAAATAGAAAAAGAAAAAGAAAAAGAAAACCTCTAGCATCCTACTGGAAACAGTAGACTATTTAGAGCAGGCTCATTCCACATCAGAGCTGGTATAGTTCAGTAAGGTCATGGTCACACAAGCCAGATGGTGCCTTCCTATCCCCCACTGAGTTCGTCTCATAAATTTGTGGTCACATGATGCACAGCCATTAGCAAATCATTTACCTGGCGAGCATGCTAATGGTAAACAATTTCTCACTTGGCCAGAGGCTTCTTCTTCTTTCGCTGCAGATCTTTTTTTAAAAAAATGTTGTGTTGCTGCGTGTTTGAACAGTTGTATTGCAACTTTTTTGAACTACTGTCAGTGTGCATGTCCTTTTAAACGGTTTTTATTTTTACATTTAGTTTGGGCCGCGGGGGGGGCAGCCCTAGCCGTCCTCCGCAGCCCCGCTCCAAGCGCTCTTACTGGCAGCTGCGATCTCAGACAGTAGAGGCTGCCAGCTTCGACTCCGGTGGCTTTATGGGGCCAGGAGGGGGTCCACCTATTGACGGGGATGGCGCAATGCAGTCACGCAGCCCCCCTGTCCCCTCCCCTCCCACTCCTTCCTTCCCTCTCTCCCCCTCTACTGTTGTGACATGCCCCGGCCACATTCTGGCCACAAG